TGGTCTGAAATGATTGGCTGCCCTACATTTCTGGCCCCATCACTCACCTTCCACCTTCTCAAAAAAACAAACCCATTGTCCTCAAGTCTATTCTGACTCACAGCGACCCTACAGGACAGAGTAGAACTGCCCTATAGGGTTTCCAAGGAGTGGCTGGTGGATTTGAACTGCAGACCTTTTGGTTAGCAGCTGAGCTCTTAACCACCGCACCACCAGGTCCACCTTCTAAATCACTTCCAAATTCACATACATCTTATATATCAGCCATATGAAGTTAGTCGGTATGATACCACCTCCTTGCCTGCGCTCAGACAGTCCTCACTGCCTGCACATTCTCTCTCTTCACCTGATTTACGCATCCATCATGCAGCTCCTCCTCTGGCCTCTACCACCTTCTACCAAAAGTGTGTTGCACTTCAGCAATTCCCTATAAGCATGTCACTATTCATACTGCTATCTATATTTATCACATGGTACTGTGAGCTCCTCATTGTTGGAAATTAGTTGTTTGTTTGTTTGTTTTACTGTGTATCACTGATGTCTACCAAATGTTGATAAATAGCTTCTCAGTTCCAGCACCTAGGTAGCTACCAAGATAAACTCCCTCAAACTCTTTGCTCGTTCTTATTACTAATTAGATCCAGTCCAAACCCTTCATTCAAAAACTCTGAAGCAAAAGGATTTGTCATTAAATAATTCCTTTCAGAGCCCCTTTTCTTGAACTGTTGTTGTCAGTTGTCACTGAGTCGGCTCCAACTCATGATGACCTTATGTATAATAGAACAAAACAACGCCTGCTAGGCCTCCCTTATTATATAGTCTACACACGATTTGGACATTCCATGTCCATGTCTGTGCCTCCTTGGAAACTTCTACAAAGACAGTCCTTTGACTTCTCTACCACCCCGTGTCTGTCACTTTCTTTGAGATCCAGGGAAAAGTTCACCCCTAGCAAAAGCCTTCCTTGACTAATTTCACACTGATATAAGTCCACCTGCATGCATAATCAGCCCCACATGATCTTGCCTGCTTATTATCTGTGGTCATTTATGGGTTGCTGTCTTCTGAACAAGAAGGTCAATTCTTTGAGGGCAAAGACCAAAGACTGAGTCCTCTGCTTCCTCTGCTGTTCCTACAGCATTTTCAACCATGCTGTGCATTTATCAGGCACTTAATAAATATATATTGAAGATTGTATGAAATCATAAAGATGATTTTACTGTTTTTATGAATTCCAAAAAGAATGAATTGTACTCTTGCATTCTCAACATCCCAATATGTGTGCCTTGGTTTTTTAATATGCAGATATCAAAGAGAGAACAGAAAAAATAAAATAAATGAAAGTCACATAGGCTTTTCCTAAGAAAAAAGATATAACATAAAAAAAAAAATTATGCTAGGAGGTTGAAACTCTGAAAATGTTGGGAACCTGGTGCCCTACCTCGATGGCATGAATAATGCTTTAAAACCAAACAGGCATATTCAAAAGCAAAATGTTAAAAGGATACTCTTTCAACTGCTGTCAGAGGCTAGTGACTGCCTATTTCCTGATTGGAAATCAAATTTTTATCAAGTTAACAGTGACTACAATCCCTGTGATTTTGCCACTCCTCTGGATACCTGCATACCAGCAGGACAGCCCTGGTGAAACGTGGAGACATGGCTATGTCAGGCTCTTGCCCGAACTTAGCTGACACAGGAAATAGACAACATCAACTTATAGATTTCAGTATTTTGAGGCTGTGATTTTTATTTTGGTGTTAGAATACTACACAGAAGTACCCATTCTGTTACACTAGTTAAAATCAGTCAAAAATAGATTCCTAGCTTTCAGTTTTCAGATACATATTTAATGCTTAATTCTCCTTCTCCTGCCTTGCCATAAAAAAGTAGCTATATAAAATATTAAAAGTCAAAGAAAAGGTCCTCCAAAAACACCAGCCTCTTTAACAGACACAATAGCATCTGGCATTTAACATCGTATTCCCTAGAGATGGATTGAAAAGACAGTCTTTCAATTTTTAATTAATTCTTTTATGCATTGAGGTCTTAGGTTTTCATTAAAGTTAATAAACCCATTGAATTCTTAACAATGTAATTATTTGAATGTATCAATGACAAGTTTTAATTATGGAAATAAAGAAAACTAGTGATGTGTAAATCATAGCAGTTTCCTACAGAACATCAGAAGCTTTAAAAAAAAAAAAAATCATTGATTGAAAAGCAAATTTGAGAGAACACTAACATAAGATCCAGGAAGATTTAATCCTAATTTCTTATCTTTTATAGCACATCCTGTTAGGCTTCTCTAATCCTTATTTTAGACAAACTTCTCTTCCATGGTGCTTATTTTTGCTTCAAAATGTTACTTTTCCAAAAAGTTACTTCAAAACACTTATGGTGTAAACAGGCCATAAATCACAGTTACATTTCATTTAGTTGAGTAGTATATAATATGTCAGATACTTAGAAAAGTAAGAATAACCCCTATTTAATCAGATATTAAATACAATTAATCATGTCAGCACCATTTACTGGGTGCTTACCATGAGCCACACATTATACTACACACTTTACTTCATTCAATTCTCTTAATAATCTTGTTATATAAATATTAAGATTATCCTCATTTTCCAGAGGAGGAAATTGGAGCTTAGAGAGATTAATTTGCCCAGATAGGCTCCAAATGCTGCTCACAAATCCTGAAATCTCTTCTTTCCATCCTCTAAGCTTTATTTATCCATTCATCCATTCAGGAAATGTTCATGAAATGCTTTCTCAGTGCCAGGCACTGCTCTAGGCACTAAGAACACAGTGGTGATAAAATAAAATCCCTGCCCTCATGGAGCATACATTCAGCTGACAGAGACAGTCAATAAACAAGCACAATGCACAGGAAGTCAGATGGTGGTAAGTACTAGGAAGAAAAAAACGCAGATTGATAGGATGGAAAGGGTGATGGGGTCCACATAGTTATACACTTATAGAAACTTTAGGACCCACTTCTCATTTCCTACACCTTCTTCTCATCAGTTCTCCATCTTTCCCTCTACACTACTTTCTTCCTTCCCCTCCCTCACCTAACCAAAAGTTAGATAAGTGATATTAAAAATTCTACCCATACACATTACTGGGGAAGCCAGCAAAACTTGTACAAGGAAAAGTCATGGAAGCTCTATAGACACTTCCAAACTCCCTAAGGGACTGAATCGCTGGGCAGAGGGTTGTGGGGACCATGGTCTCGGGGAACATCTAGCTCAATTGGCGTAACACGGTTTATAAAGACAATATTCTACATTCTATCTTGGTGAGTAGCGTCTAGGGTCTTAAAAGCCTGTGAGCAGCCATCTAAGATACTAAGATATCTAAGATACTCCACTGGTCTCACCCCACAACCTCTACCAGACTGAGTCCAGTACAGCTAGATGTTGTCTGGCTACCACCACTGACTTCTCTGACCGGAATCACAATAGAGGGTCCTGGACAGAGCTGGAAAAGGATGTAGAACAGAATTCTAACTCACAAAAAAAGACCAGATTTACTGGCCTGACAGACTGGAGAAACCCCGAGAGTATGGCCCCCGGACACCCTTTTAGCTCAGTGGTGAAGCCCCTCCTGAAGTTTACTGTTCAGCGGGGGATTGGACAGCCTCATAAAACAAAACAGGACTAATGAGGTACAGCACCCCAGGGACAAGGACTAGAAGGCAGGAGGGAACAGGAAAGCTGGTGATAGGGAAACCAAGTTTGAGAAGGGACAGTGTTGACATGTCATGGGGTTGTTAACCACTGTCATAGGGCAATAGGTGTACTGTTTAATGAGAAACTATTTGTTCTGCAAACCTTCATCAAAGGTACAAAAAAAAAAAAAAAGAATTATGTGAGATCAAATTGACAACAGCAACTCAAAAGGTTTGATGGGAAGACTAGGGGACAGTGAGTTGAAGATAATGGTGATGGAATAATTTGGAAAAGGATAGTGAGAATAGCAGCACAACTGGAAGAATGTAATCGATGTCACTGAATTGTACACGTAGAAACTTTCAAAATGGTGTAACTTTGGCTATGTATATTTTCACCAAAAAAAAGATCCTCAAGGTCGAGAAAGGAGAGTGCTGACATGTCGTGGGGTTGTTAACCAATGTCATAAAACAATATGTGTACTGACTGTTTAATGAGAAACTATTTGTTCGTAAACCTTCATCTAAAGTACAATAAAAAAATTTAAAAAAATAAATAAAAATTCTATTAATATTAAAAATTCTAAAAGCAATTTCTGGTTTAGAACCCCAGAAGAAACCCTAGATTAAAAAAGAGAAGCAGAGTTGAGGAGAGTAGTTTCAATGGATATTTTCATCCATCTGAAAAAGAATATTTTTTCAAAATTATTTTTAAAGTAGATAACCAAACTTTAATTAAATCTTTCCTAAAACTACATCATGTTATGTTAGTTCTACCACCCTTCATATCTATCTGGCTGTCAACATGCTTTTAGTGGAGAAAGAAAAGACCTTTGCATGTTTTCACCATTTTAATCAACAGTTTTAGGACAATTTAATGTCTCAGGAAGAAAACCCTTTCTTCTTCCATGGCTTGAACAATAAAAGCCATCCATCAGTGAAAAAGTGATCACTAAAGATAAGCCTGAACTATCTGGACTATCCTATATCAACATGAACAGATTGTGTCCCCGATGCAGACACTCTGAAAGAGCAAAGCTAAATAAAAAATTTTGGCCACATCATATACATATGCAAATCAGATATCCCATTCCACTTGACCTTACAGTAAATCAACTGTAGGGTCTTGTTGATGTTATTATTGTTGTTTTTCTGATTTTTATGACAAAGATTATTTTCAGATTTTGACTAAATATTTACATTTTTATAATTTATATGCCAATCTAGAACATATAGGCAATAATCAAAATTGTATAATGACTGCTTCTACAAGCAAAACATCTTTTGGAGAACCCAACAGCACTATGTCCATTAGTCTTACCTCTGCAGCCAAATAGTTCCCAGTTGCAAGATGCTTAAATCTAAACAAGCTGTTCCACTGTCCTGCACCCCCACGGCATGGGTCATGATGAACCACCTACAGACAAACAGAGCAAGGACAATAATGGCTAAATGATATTCATGTTGCTGGCAAAGCAAATGCTAACAGTTTTCATGAGTGCCCTCCTATTAATTCTGACCTGTCAAATCTAATACGTGTTTTCATGAGAGTACAATGTGGCAGAAAAATAAAATTCCCCATAAAAGAGCAAGAGATGTTATAACAACAGTTAACTCACTGTACACGCATGATGCTCACACTTCACATCTGCAGATGCAGCCTCACTCCTAAAGACATGTTTCCAAGGCCAAAACTGGAAATACCATGGGGTTTCTCCCCATTCTCACCCATTCATTTAACAGATTGTAATAAGAGCCTATTATGTGCCAAGTACTCTTCTGGGCAATGAGGACACAGCAGTGAATAAAGCTAGAGCTTTCATTTTAATGGTGAAGGCAATAAACTAGCAAACAAATAAGTAAGATTTGGCAAGTGCAAAGAAGGAAATGAACAGATTGAGTAACTAGAGAAGCCTACTTTAGAAATAGTAATCAGCATAGACGACTGTGAGGATATGGTGTGTTAGCTGAAACCTGGAGGATGCAAATGAGCTAGCCATGCAAAGAGATTGGAAGAGATCATTCTAGGTAGAGAGAACCACAAGCGCCTACAATGTCTGAACTAACTTAATTCTTAGCCTTTCCATGTATGCATTTGATTAACACCATGCTCTTCCACACCTGTCCTTCAAACTGGCCTCTCTCCAAGTGCCAAGCCACAGGCAGAGTTAGGAATGAAAGCACTAGACACTCTGACACAGTTGGTTATGGCAAGTGGTGTGGTACAGTAGAAAAGCACAGGTTTTACAGTCCAAAGACGACTGTGTTTGAGTCCCAGCTCAGCCAGTTACGATGGTATGATTTCAGCAAGTAATTTAACATCCCAGAGCCTTGTTTCTTCATGAATAAAATGGGGTTAATTCATAGGAATGTTGTGAAGATTAAATATCATAAGGCATGTTCAAGTGCTAGGATACTTTTTCATTATTGTTCCTCAACAAATTACCTTTTTTGTTGGTATTGGGCTCCTGCCCCAGCCTCAAATTCTGTATGCTAACACATGTAACTTTTCCAATGCCTTTGCTGGACTCCAGGTTCTTTGTCTTTCTCTACTCCCACAGGTCAAATATAATAATTACAAAAATGCTTCAAAGACTATGAAGTCTTACAAAAATGCTTCCCCTGTGGCTGAAAACCCACCCATCCTTCAAGGCCCAGTTCACAAATCTTTCTTCCATAAACCCTTTGCTAATCACGCCATCCACTGTGATCTTGTCCATACTCGAACACTTACGCCTTTCAGGGAGTCATGGATACCTCTGAGGATCTGATAGCACCATCTTTTGGTCGTCACACTCAAATTCCATGTATAATTACTAGGGGTTAACAAATAACTTGAAGCCCATCCGTGGATCCCAGACATAAAACTCCTATCCTATACATTACTGGGTCTAACAATGGTGGTAGAGCTCCCTGGGAGATATTTTAAAGATTTGGGGGAGGGAGGGTTGTTGTTGTTAGATGCCATCAAATTGATTTTTGACTCATAGTGACCCCGTGTGACAGAGTAGAACTGCCCCACAGGGTTTTCTTTGGCTGTAATCACCAGGTCTTTCTCCCACGGAACAGCTGGGTGGGTTAGAACTGCCAACCTTCTGGTTAGCAGCTGAGCATTTAACTGTTGCACCACCAAGGCTCATTTGTGGGGAGGAGAGAGTTTATTTATCGTGATGATTTTGGAAGGTGTTATTAGCATTTAATGGGCAAGGCCAAGATATTACATATTCTGCAATTCACAAGACAGTCCAGCGTGTGCTAGATACCGTGTGTCGGCACTCAGCATCATCTTCATCCTTCTAAGCTCTCACCAGCAGAGCTTTGGGCAGCATTCCCCATGAGAATGGAAAGCGGAGGAAGGTGAGAAAGAGGCTTCTCCTTGGGCTCCAGTAACAACGGCAGCAGTCCACTAGTGCAGACTCCAACAGGCTGGGGTGGGCAGAAGACTACCAAGCGGATGAGCCCACAGCACATGGGTAGAGACAAGGTGTGCCGGCCCAGAGAAGGAGCAGGAAGTGCTCCTAGCAGTGCCAGATGTTCAGATAAGTCCACCTATACCAGCCCATTTTTCCTCCTCCAGTCCTTTCAATAATGCTGAAAACAAATTTCCTATAGGAAATACCTCTTTGCTTGAAACACCTGAGTGATTTCTATTTCCTGACTAAAGCTTGACTGATTTAGCACACACAAAAAAGAAACGCCTCATATCCTGCACACCTTTCAAATCTCCTTCAGAAATAAACCTACCATAAATCTAAGATGGTAATACTTTAGTACATAATCATACTAACAAGTGTTTACATCAAGCTATATGAAAAGTCCAATAATTTAAGAGAATTCACTATGGAAAGGGAAGCTTAAATGAATGAAAGACATTATCTCAAAACTACTGAATCATTTGTTTACTCTCTCCATTCTGTCTGCCCAAAGTGCTATAACATTTCCAACTACACGTTTAGTTGGAAAGGGTTTTAGAGCAGTGGCACAGTTATAGCAAAACCTATAAAACTAACAGCAAATAATAAGAAAGAAGATTTAAAATTTCTTTTAACAGACTTAGAACCCAACATGAAATTGAGACAGAGATACATGAAATGCACGGAACTCACTGCATTTCATTAATAAAGTTGTGAAATAATATTTCATATTATCGCATCCATACATGTTCTAAATTTTTGGAGCACAATGATAAGAGGTGTATGGCGTGAAAATAACATATTTTAATCACATAGTTATTTTGGCTGACTGTAACTTTTCAGGCTTACCCGGAAACTCTTCCCAAAGGTCTACCTCACAACTTCTCTGTAGCCTCTTGTATTACTGGTTTTGGTGGTGGTCTTTCCCCTAGACCTTCTCAATTCCCTGCCACTTATTGAAGGATAGGGCCTCCAACGTCCTTCTGAGCACTAGACATTGAACGTATGCCTCAACATGTAGCGGGTTTCAGGACAAAAGGCATTTTTTGTGTACTATTTCATCTCCATTCTAAACCATGGCATAACATAGAGAATTATTCTGATGTTACATTTACAAATGGAGTCCCTGGATAGTACAAATGGTTAAGCTCTTGGCTGCTAATCAAAAGACTGGCAGTTCAAATCTACCCAGAGATGGCTCAGAAGAAAGACCTTGCCGTGTACTTCTGAAAGATCACAGCCACTGAAAACCCGATAGAGTACAGTTGTGCTCTGACACTCATGGGGTTGCCATGAGTCTGAATCAACACAACAGCAACTGGTTTGCTTTTTTTTTTTTTTTTTTCTTTGCTTTACATTTGTGAATAAGGCTCAGCTCTTTTGCATAAACAACAAACTTCCTTATTTTTTCTGTTTGAACAGTATGTAATTTGCCTTGTTATCCCTATTTCAATTATGGTTACTTCCCTCTCATTTTTTAAATTATGTACAAATAAGTATGCTCTATGAATGCTTCTCCTAACACTAATTGTTATTCAGGAGTCTACATTTACCTCTGCTCTTCCATATGCCTATGTTTCTTGTACAGAATGTCTTCTGATCCTTTTCTTCTGTTACTTCTCTTAAATCCAAATGTATCCACTAAGATAGGTATAAATACTGTATCTTCTAGAGTAGTCATTTATATGTTGAAATACATATTATTTTATTATAAATTATTTTCCTTTTATTTCTTCTTTATATTAGAATTTTGTCATTATAGTAATTGTTTAATCATGAAATTATGAATTTCATTTTAGGGTATTAAATAGAATGTTACAATATACATGCTGTAAAAGGGAGGTGATTTGTTTGAAAGGGTTAAGAATCACTGCTTTAGCCCTAGATGTCCATTAAATCAAGATGAAATTTTCAGATATTGACTTATTCATAGGTGGTTATGTATACTTAATCCCCTTCACCATTTAAAAAGCCCCTTTAAAGAAAAATCCACATCTTACATGTTCTTAATAACTCTATTGTATTGACACATTTAAAAATACTTTTTGAATTAGAGGATGAATAAATTCTTAACTATGGTTCTCCCAATCGGAACAGAAATGGCATTCTCAGAGGAAATAAATGTTCTCTTCAGTGACTGGGTGGTTCTAATACCTGCCTTCACTTAAAGTGAGCCATCCTACTCCATCTTAACTCCAATGCCATTTGAGGCACATGGCCTTCAGTCTCTTCAGTCTTGACATTTTCACAATGGATTTTTCATAAAACCATATATATGTGCTTATGAAACTATAATTGTTCAAATCCAAAAGAAAACTATAATATGCATACACAAACACTCATAAACTATATCTATATGTTAAAATATATATTATTTCATTATTTCATACTATAGGTCTCTCTCTCTCTCTCCACATACATGCACATATATATGGACAGAGAGAGACCCCAGAGAAGATAGGTAAAGGAAGTAGTATCATTTCAAATTGGTCACAGAAAAGAAGGGGCACAAGTTGATCCCAAAAAATCATTCTGTTTTATGGGTCTATCATAAGTGATGCCTATATCAATAAGACTACATCAAGTAGTCTAATAAATCTTGTCTTTTTTATGTAAATGTTTATTAAAAGCCAAAAATATTTACACACCTCTATTTCCCAGAGTGCTTTGGAACTAGTAGCAGAAGTGGCTGATTGACGCAAGGTTGTACGAAGGAAAATGTGCTGTTTTTTCTCATATTCATCGCAAGTCAGAAACTTCTCTTGCTCTGCGTGAAACAGTCTAACAACGTCACCCTAGAAAAACAAGTCAAAAACACTGTATTTCCAACAAAATTGTGAACATAGAGCCATGAGCAGCAGGTATCTCTTTCTGATCTTGATACTCTGGGCTCTTCTGCTAGCCCCTTGGTTAATGATTATTATACATTTCAAAATATTGAAAAGAAAACTCAGTGAAACACTCCTAGTGAATATTAAGTTTTGTAGTGACAATTCTAAATTATGAAACAGCAGTGATTACACAGGTTTTGCATCTACGAGTTCAATAAAACTACCTTCAATTCTTTCAGCAAATGTTCTATGTAGCACATACTTACTCCTTTTAATACATCCTCTCGATAGGAACTATATTTCATGAATAAAGTAATTTTCCAGCTAGTGTTGCAATTAACAGCATTCACCTATTAATAAAGAAATGTTGAGTTATAAGACTATAGATTATATTCTATTTTAGGTGCTATTACTTCAATTAGTAGAAGAAGAAAAAAGGCAATTTTGTACAATGAAGTATGTATGTACCGCCATATAAAAATCTTCAAAGAACCATCAGAAAATAGCAATAGCTAATCATTATCTACATGTATTTTTGGATTACTAATTAGCATAACTGGGCTTATGCTCATGAACACAATGAAAATAACTATTTGACTTTTTTTCCCCCTCTCATAAGAAAAATCCACAAATTCATTCTCTTCCCTCTTGAACTTACCTCTTTGCATCCTGGGTTATCGAGAAGCTCAATGTTGCTGGCATGTAGTGGCTGTCCTGCATTCACTGGCATCAAAACAACTTTATCTCCTACAACAATCTAGGAATCAAAAATCAAAAATAAATTGCAATTGAGACACTGTGTGGATTTCTGGTGCTAGATCTGAAGCTATAAATAACTACACAGAAGTCCTTGTTATTAACCTGATACCCGCCCGTTTATCCTCCACACATTTTAGTTCAATTATTTTTGTCTTTGCAGTGAAACATCTCTGATAAATGATCATATAAGCATGCCCTATCGTGCCTATAAGTCTAGATTCATAAAGCTAGTGTAGTTCTTTTTCTTATTAGTCTCTCATTTCAGTAGAGCCTTCTTAATTAAAGTCAACACATAGGTCATTATTCTTCCACACGAGGTCTTATGCCATAAATACAGCAAATACAGAGAGAGAATGCATCTGTCACACACACCAAAAAAAACAGTGCACACAGAAAATATTTTACATTTGCATTCTCTCTGGAATGAAAGATAAGCCTGGTAAATTTAATCTTCCCTATGATTTCAGAAATTTTACTAAACATTCTAATGACATCTGGATTTACAGAAGGTAGAAATGGGTATGAGTTTGTAGAAATATGTTTATTATTTAGACCTTGGGCATCTGGTTTCCTCTTATCTTAAACACCCAAAAATAATATTACTCCTTAAACCTGGTTTTCACTGTTGAATAAAAACTAAAATTCATTATGGGAAGAGTGCTTAAAGAAATAAGCCCAAGTTGATTGAGTTTCATTCATGCTATCATTAACAATGTCCACGTTATCTTTGAGTATTTTTATTCATAAATCAAATTGTAGGGACATAAAATTATGCTTTCTAAATTATAATAGTGAACAGTTTAATTTTATAGTTACTAAAGTTACTTACGTTGCTAGGTTTCATTGGAAGACACATTACTGTAGTACCTACAGTCTCAATTATAGAATCACTCACCATTCACAAGTGAAAACTAATATATGCCATTAGCGCAGCTACCCTTCTTTTGAAATGGTACCTGGTACAGTGAAAAGAACTTTGCAGTGGGAACCAAAACTCCAATGTTCTACTCCCACCTTTGCTATAAATCCAAGGCATTTAGCTGTCAAAATAGCAAAATCTACTTGCTGTCTGAAGAAGCTTTTTCCCTAAGAGTTAAAATTGCCTCTTGATCATCATAGTAATTAAAAGAAGATCTGATCTTATCTCACGTTTAAATCTACCATAAAGGTAAATAACTAATGTCTTTTAAATTGAAAATGAAAAATTAACTACTCAATCATGAGAAGATAAATGAAAATGAAATATTCATATACTGTGCTCATAAATGTCCCCAATGAGTTTCTAACTATTCAACAGCAAGCAAGGGCTTTCTATACAGTTAAAAGCTAAAGCATCCATGAATCTACATTTGGTGCACAACTATCCATCCCATAATCCTAAAGATGGATCACACAGGTGCTCCTAAGTGTTAGGAACCATTGATTTTTGAGGATATGAGGGAGCATCTTTCTCCCAAGGCTATCATCAGTTTGCACTTCATCTAGGTCACAGAACATCTTTCTGGATAGTTACAACCTAAATTACAATTTAACTAATTGCTAAGTGGTTCAATATAATTTTAAAAGTCATCTGCATTTTTCAATTTTCTCTTCTTACTTTAATATGAAATACTTTAAAAAGAAAATCAGTAGTCATCGAACCGCCTGTTACAAAGCAACAGTATTCCCAATTCCTTCAACAAAATATAGTAGGTTTATATTCCAGAAAAATGCCACCTATTCCTAGGAAAGAAAATGAGCATTACAGTGCAATTATATCTGTGACAAATAGAGGGTTGTGGGTGTGCTTTGCTTTCACAGCAACCTTAATCACATACAAAAGCCACACAGTGGTGAGCAAAAAGAGTGAGCTAGTTCAGCAAAAAGCAATGCGGAGGGGTGTTTTAGCCATGCTTTACAGGGCACATCTATATAAGGAGGACTTCTACATTGCACTTTAACAATTATGTTGCCCACTTTAACCAAGATAAAGTGTTTGGGTGTGCTTTTTTTTTTCTCCCAGTAAAACTAATTATATGAGGTAGTTCATTACATTCAACTCTCTTGTGACTCTCTAAAAGGAATTTGGGAACATGGAAAGGAAACAAATAGAATGAATTCATAAAATCCATAGCTAATCTAAAAGCTCCCATGTATCCAATAATTTAATCATATTCCTTCAGACCATGAGCTCACGTTTTGTTTATTTTGGATGTTTGATTTTTACTGGCCATCTACAGACAGGACCCTCACATGGCAGAGCCAGAGAGGGAAACAGGCAAGACAAGAAAGGGCATCAGAGGACACGGGTTGTTCACAAACTACATAATCAGTCCCTGGATAATTGAGAGTTGACTGTAATTGACTACCTACTGAAATCAAAACATGGATCATGCTCACATCACTTGATGCCAAAAAAAAAAGTAGACTTATTTTTTTTTAAGGAATCCAACACAAAATACAGTGCATTGCATTCCTGCATGCCGTGCTTCTCCCAAACCTTACCTAAGGAGGGTAACACCAGGTAATTTATTAACCAAATTAAATCAAGAAGCTTGCATCCTGTGGGATTGAATTTGCACTTCAAAATTCACTGGAAAAACAGATTCACTATAAAAATAAGACATTTCTAAGATAAGATATATCTAAAATAGCATATTAAAAACGTAATCAAAGTATTGAGAAAATTTTGTCAAAATAATTATACTTTTATATTGCTTTTAATTCATGTTAATAAAGAAAAAAAATCTAAACTATTGTTCCTGATCACCTGACCCAATATTTGTAAGGTGTTCTATTTATGAAAGCTATTCAGTATTCCGTGTCAACCAATTGAGCATCTCCCATTTGCTAGGGACTGTCACGCATTACTTTATTTATTACAAACAAAAATATTAAACTATTGATCCTACTGAATCATTTCACATATTTTTTTCATTATCTCCCACTCTATAAAGTAGCAGAAAGTACTTTAGCAACTACTAAAATTTACATGACACACAATACACACATATTCCACAACATATTTTAAATATAGTTGTCATTAACATCAGTTGATGAGCAGATGCCAATTAACAGCTCCACAGGACACATCTATTAAGACATAGACCGTAGGCAGCTGGCCATAAGGCCAGTTAATGGAATACTGTCATGATTCATAGTGTTCCTCTATTAATTCCAGGAGGCAGGCACAGTTTCCTAAATATAGCTCTTTCTCCTTACAACTACACTTCATCCTGATTAGGCAAGGAAGCAAACCCTGCCTCTCTTTTAAAAGCTTCAGCAAATATTAAGGGTACCTAAGTTCTTTCACTTGTCCCTAGGTGGTGCAAACACTTTGTGCTCCATTTCTAACTTAAGGGTTGGTGGTTCAAACCCACCCAGAGGTACCACAGAAGAAAAGGCCTGGCAATCTGCTTCATTAAGTTTAAAAAAAAAGAAAAAAGTTGTCATCCAGTCAATTCCAACTCACAGCTGCCTCATCTGTTAGAGTAAAACTGCTCCATAGGGTTTTCTTAGCTGTAATCTTTACCGAAGCATATCACTGCTAGGTGGGTTCAAACTGCCACCCTTTCGGTTAGCAGCAGACTGCAAACTGCGTGTGCCACCCAGGGACCGCCATTAAGATTTCAGCCAAGAAAACCCCATGGAGCAGTTCTACTCTGGAACACATGGGGTCGCTGTGAGTCAGAATCAACTCAATGACAACTAACAAGTTTCTTCACACGAGTTTTCATCTTTCAGCTGAAAGATAATTTTAACTTAATCTTAACTTTGTCTTTTTATGATTTCTGAACACAGTTGTACTATAAATAAATGCTTTTAACCTATTAATGATATTAAGCTGAAAATAATGTGTTGACGGCTGAAATACATATTTCCTTTCTTTATACTTTGTGGAATCTCTCACTAATTAAGAATTATTTTCTTTAAGAACCCACTTTTTTTCTTAATTTTGTATTTACATACATTGTCACCCTCACTTCTCAGCTTCCAGAAGGGATGAATATAAAACCAAGACCCTTCATTGCCCGCAGCATCCAAAGACACGCGCATGGCATTCTTCTCCAGTAAAGCAGGTAATCTCTTATTGACAGTCAGATATTTGTTGCTTTTTATATGCAGTAGCTGTAGGGAAAAGACATGAGTTACCACCTTTATTCTCTGATCTCCCCTGTTAATTACATTTATGTTTATACATACATCATATAACCACGTAACAGGGCTTGAGGTGGAGATTAAACAAAGGAGCTATTTTCATTCTCCTCACTCACCATCTTTCTCAGTTGACTACCATGTCCTATCTTTAGGTTCCTCCTCACCTCCACCCCCAACTCCTCTTCACAATGAAGTGGGCACATGAGGAAAACAAACCCGGGGACACTTCTGAATAATTTTCGTCACTTATAAATACTAGAATAATGCAGGCTTTCCAACAGAGACCTAGAGGTTCCCCTGAACCACATCCTTTCTCAAATCCTGCACAGCCACAAAAAACAGAACAAACTAAAGAAAAACAAAGAAGCTGAGATAATGCATCAGCTGACTTAGAATTATTAACCATGCCTGCCCACATGCGTGCCCAAGCTCTTCCTCCATGAGGAGGCAGGCTGCCCTTCACTTTCAGCGTGAATCCTAAAAAGGCTCTGCAACCTCCACACAGGATGCCAATCTTACCTACATCTCAGATGACTGCAGAAGACACCAATCTTACCCCATCTCGGATGAGTGTAGAAGCCCATTTGTCAGAGTGTGTGGAGTCCATGGACCAAATATTTCCAAATCTTTTTTTTTTTTAGTTGCCATTGAGTCGATTCTAACTCATGGCAACCAAATATGTGTCAGAGTAGAACTGTACTCCACAGAATTTTCAATGGCTGATAGTTTTGGAAGTAAATTGCCAGGTCTTTCCTCCAAGGCATATCTGGGTGGACTCGAACCACCAAGCTTTCAGTTAGCAGTTGAGTGTGTTAACCATTTGTACCACCCAGAGACTTCATTTCCAAAATTATTGATCAATATAGCGCTGACAACTTTTGATTCAACTGAGTAAAGAAACCAAGACAAGACAACCCTCCTATCTATTGTCACAATCACTTCAAAAAAGAAAGGTCATTTTAATACCCAAAATATCAGAAGGAACTTATCTCAGAATGAAAGGCAGTTCTTAAATTGAAAAAAAATCATCTCTTTGAACAGCTCAGTATTATACTCTTGGCTCTCATTTTACCAAAGATCATGAGAATGCTAACGGACTGACCCAGTCCTTCGGCATCCACCAAGTTGAGCACTTGACTCAGCCCTTAAATGACCACATAGGCATCTGTACTTCAGGCACATGACAAGGAACATAAGCTCCATTTGCTGCCACTTAATACCTGATCAAAACTTGGTGAGAGAAACAATATTTATGGAGGACTGCCCAAGGGACATGCAGCCCACTCAGACATGCAGCCCACTCATGGTGCAGGTACTACATTATCTGTTGTTGTCGTTAGGTGCCATAGAGTCGATTCCGACTCATAGCGAACGCATGTACAACAGAAGGAAACACTGCCCGGTCCTGTGCCATCCTCACAATCATCGTTATGCTTGAGCGCATTGTTGCAGCCACTGTGTCAATCCATCTCATAAAGGGTCTTCCTCTCTTTTGCTGACCCTCTACTTTACCAAGCATGATGTCCTCCTCGAGGGACAGATCCTTCCTGATAACATGTCCATACATTATCTTTCATTACTAAATCATATATTTAGGGAGCTGCAAACCCTGGCTCTCTCTTCTTACCCCATCAGAGAACTGTTTTGACTGCCTGTGCTCTGGCATTTTGACGTTGGTCTATGGCAAAACATCAGGGGATATTATTTAAAAACAGCTCTATGAAACACCTCATTGTAGTATTTACTTTAAGGAAGTTGTTAAGGCTATTGTTCATTATATGAAACAGTGTCCTCTTTATGAGAGTTTATAGAAAAAACATTTCTCTGGTCTTATTCCTGGTAACAGTAGTGCTTCTAAAGCTCTGAACTTGCTGCTATGTGAATGCTGTGACATGTTATACCTCCGTTATGGTTAAGGGGGCAACAAAAAGGCTTCTAGTAAAGTTGACCAGACTTTGCAACATGGATTGTATAAACATGCCTCACCTTGGAATTCACCTTATTCATCCAACCACCATTTTTTCTTTGACCTAACTGCCTTACTTCTTTTTTATCTTGTTATGTGGTATGTATTTTTGAAGATGCCCTACATTCTTTTGGAACAAGGTAGGGCGTATATTAACAAATAACAATAGAAAAAGCTAAAACAATCAAATGAAGTATAAGAAAAGAATGTAGCTAAGATAAATCAGAGTTGCCTACTAATTGAAATAGCAATAACAATTCAAGGATGATTTCTCTCTAAAAGTACAGTCTGAAACTTTCCTCTCTCTACATAAAGCTTCATATTGTACCAATTAGTCCCACTAATAATAAAGGGCTTTTTATTAGCAATTACGTTTCCTCATCCTCTGTCTTTTGATGTAATAACAGTATGCTGAAAATGTCACCATATCAGTAATTTCCACCAAAGAACAAACTATTGTATCTCAAAATTTTAATGCAGTTTAGCATTCATACCAAATGCAAATTACCCATAAAATATTCACCTCTTTTAGGAGAAAAAAATATTTTAGAGACTTACTTGTATAACATTACTGTACTTCACAATTTCTCCCAACAGTTTCTTATTCTCTGATTCATTTTGTTTTTGTTCCAGTTCTGCAGCATGCTATAAAATGATTATTAAATATTCAGTGTGGAAACATAACAAACAGAGTTCAATAACTGACAAGGATATAAGTATTTTTGAATACCTATGTATGCCAAGCACTGCTCTAGGAGCAAAAAATAAGAGTATGAATCAAATGAGCTGGTTGCTTTACTCTTGATGCTTTGGGGGGAAGGGGGAAGGCACATAAAATAGATAAATAAATGATTATTACATAGTGTGATAATTATCTCGGTTTAATGCTAAAATGCAGTCAAAATGTCTTGGGCCACTCATATGTTGGAAATTTCAGAAAAGTACTAGGTTCTTTGATCTTATAAAATTATTGTAAGAAGAAATATTGCTAGAAAAACAAACCAGGATGATAAGTGAATTTCAACATCTCAAAGTACTGTTTCAATTCTGAAAATAACAGGAATTTTAATGACACATAAAATTAAGTTCTATCAAATTTACACTCACCCTAACCATAAACAATAGACTTCCCTTCTTTTTTTTTTTTTCCCATAGTCTTTCAGGAAAAAAATTTAAGCATTCTGTCAAGTAAAATGTGACTGGACTTGACATTCTAACAGAGATTTTGAATTGGTTTCCAGTTTGATGTGAAGCTTTGAACTACTCCAGCACACCCTAAAAATAGCAGCAAGAATGTGTGACCCACATGCCAGGAAATAAATGGTCACACCTTAGAACTTAAAAATGTCTTCCACTTTCAATGTGTTGCTACATCTATCCTAACTCTCTGTGTATTGGGTGAATCTACAAAGCTAGAAAGCTACAAACACATATCTTCCATTATTACTCTTCTAAGTCCAGCCTAAGCCAGACAAACGCAAGTTCTGCCCTTACTTGTAATTTCTTCAGCAAGGCTGCTTCTGTGTGGTTCCCTTGTTTGGCTTGCTTGGCTTTCCAGTATTGTTTCTGGGCAGAATACCGGTTCATGGGGCACACCTTGAAAAGGCAGTCTGTGACAAACCAACAAAACAAAAACACTGTAACTAAGGATACCAGCATCTCTTAGATCCCCCATAGCCTAGTATTTTACAAAATCTTGGAATCCATGACTATAAAGAACATTTAAAGATCATCTAATCCATCCTCCAGCCAATTCTTCAATTCCCTCTATAACATCCTCTTCAAATAATTTTTTAGACTCAGTTAAAATAATCCCTCTCCATTAGCTGAAGTTTTTTTAAAGGATACTATACCCAGTACAATGTATAAAGAAATCAAACCAGTGTAATTGTTACATTATAAGCACCTCTTAATTATGGTGGGCTACCTGGGCTTTGAAACTGTATAGAATGAGATAAGTGACTTTCACTGCCTTATCTGACCTTGCACAATAAGTTACTTATTTGTGATAAGCATCTTTGACAGCCAAAGTGATGCAGGAAGTACAATCAGGCTGACCATTATAGTCATCCATTCCCCAAATTGTCACACTTCCCAGTTGTGCATATCTGGGGTAAATCCAGTGTAGAAATCTGAGAGGCAGTGTGATATAATGGAAAAACAAAACAAAGCAAAATAAAACAAATAAATAAGCCAAGATGATAGTCCTAAGTCTACCCCTAAATATCAAGATAGGAAAACCTAGGAGAATATCACAATTTGCAATACTGCCAAGTCCAAAAGCAAAATATTTCCTTTTTAATGAGGAAAATAGAAGTCTTCCACATGCTAATGATTTTGTATGCTTGGAATGGATTAGATCAATTCCTGACATTCTATAAAGGAGCAGTGATAAAAACAATCCAAATCTTCCTCACCAAAAAAATACTGTTTTAATTTAATATAACAAATTTCCCTTTCTTTGGTTGATTTGTGTTAATATTTAAAATCATTCTCATTTCTCAAATATGTACCACAAAAATAAAATTCAGTCAACTCAAATATCCATTTTAGCCACATTCTTGACTATATTATCTAACATGCTCAAGTTCTATTTTTCTCTCTAAAATTAATTATAAAATTAAATGCTGGGCTTAATCTTTTTCAAATTTCAGTTTCTTATGGTTCTAATAACACAAATGGTCAAAGAATATGACTGTGAATTTTCTTAAGGAATTTAGAAAACACAGAAGAATACTTTTGGTTCTATAGCTTATAAGCACAAATTCTATCGATTACCTCCCCGCCACAAACACACAAGTCTACAGAAAACTAATTACTAAATTCTGGCATAATCCACTGATGTGAATGAGTTAATATTCTATAGGTAGCAGAAAACAGACACCTCCCAACTGCTAAATGTAGGCTGTGAGACAGTCATGATTACTGTACGACATAATAATCACCACTTGTCACGTGCATATGACAACCGAAGAACTAGACCTGAACGCTGGTCCACTTGGAAGCATATCTTATAAATCCTAGAAATTATTTCATATATACTAACAACTACAAAGAGAACACACAAACTTTTTAAAGCACAAATATAGAATTTATTCACAGATATCACTCACAAAAGTGCTCCCAATTTAGTGAAGCCAACTCTCCTGACTATCCTCTATCAGGCAAGTGGCCAGACACTACTTTGTTTTAGTATTCAAGTAGAATTGAACTCTATAACCTTCAGTCTATACGTCTGACTTTATTTATGTAATGAAAACAAGAGGGGAGAGGTGTGTTCCTCTCTATTACTACAAATTCCTAATAAAGCTCATTCCCTGAGTGAAGTAGAAATGAAGGGTTCCTTGATGGAGAAAATATTTGTTTCTAAATTCTAGACCATCCTGATCAAAGACATCACTAGCTAGTAAGCAGACTGTTTCGTGGCCAAACCATGCCTGATCGCTGTGGCTGAGATCATTATGAAATGAAGGCAAACACTCAGCCAAGCCATGTTCACTGTAACCCCCTACCAGGGCCCAGGCCTTGTGCTGCGAGGTGCTAAGACTCAGACTCTGTCTTAGGAAAGTTCAGTCTAGTGAGTGAGACAGGCATCTGCTATGAGTTGAAGTTGCACACTGGAGCTTGTGGCAGGCACTATGGGGCACGAAGATACGTTGGTCAGCTTTACCAGGGGAAGTCTGAAGGAGAAGACACACGTCAAATTTTGAAGAATCAATACTAATTCAGCATGTGGGCATGGGGGTACAAATGCTCAGAGAGGAGGTACATTTGAAACAGGGTCAGCATCTGGTGCAAAGACAGCAAAGGAGAAGACTAAGGGATCACTAACTGCTCAGGAAACCTCCTGCCTAGGCTGTGAGATGAAAATGCAGCGTTTGGCTGAGGTAGGGTCCGCAGAGTGTTACGTGTTAGGCTAAGGAGTTTGGACTTTATCCCATGGAACATGTCAAACTATTAGAGTCTTAAGCTCTTACAGCATGTGAAAGATGACAGGAGCAAGAGCAAAAAGATCAGCATGCAAGCTTCATTAGTGACAGTGAAGGTCCCAATTTGGGCTGTACAGGAGTTGAAGGGTAGACATATATTTAAAAGAAAGCAGCGGAACCAACAGACTTAATAATCTGTTAAATGTTGAGGTAGGAAAACAGTAGGGAGACAGAAAGTGAAGATGGCCAAAATAATGAACAAGGTTCCCTCCACTCTCCCTGCCTGAGATACAAAACCTTCGATTTCAAAAGCCCTTTTCATTTTTAGGGCTTAGTTTTTATGGTCTCCGCCAGTAACCTCCCACAGGTGATATCTCATTTCATATTACAGTAAATAACTGGTATTTGTTTCAGTGTGGGGACTAATACCCCAGAACTATTTTGGTTGATAGAAGGAAACATAGGGCACATACAATCTTCTTCTGTAGAAATGCTTTTGCTGCTGTTGCTGTTGGTGGTGGTAATGGTCGTGTGTCTGTGTCTCTGTGTGTGTCTGTGTGTCTGTGTGTGTATGTTTTCAATTTTTTGTCTCCTTTAGGACACGTTAAAAAATATATACTGGTCCTGGGCTAGTCACGTATTTTGTCTGATTCTAAATTTACTGCATAATAAAAATATTAATAATACTCACCACACCTAATTCACAGGGCTGCTGAGATGTGCAAAAAGACAGTCTGTATGAAGATACTCTGTGAACTTTAAAGCCCTATTATGAACGTAAGGCATTATTATTAATATTGCTTCATTCTTTCAGCAATAGCTTCACTAAGATTAAGAGATGACTAAGCCATTACAGAACTCTCAGCAAAGAGAAACAAAAATTAGAGTTCTCTGATAAAACCTGAGTACACACCAAAAGTGTCCAATTAACAACAAAGTGTTTGCCTCGTTTGATTTAAGCTGCACCAATATGTTTTTGTATAAAGTTCTCAAAAACAAGAATAGCAGTAGGCAAAATATTTTATCTCTATTACTTTGTAATATCTTTTAAAACATGCAGATACAATTACTAGCACAGTATGGGTGGAGCCTTTGACAAGCCTCCTGCTCTTTTTGGCATGTAGGAACTCAGGTATTTCAGAGCCTACCCTCTCTCATCTGAGCTCCTCACTCTGCTTCTAAAACTAGCTCCCTAGTATTCCATGATCTGCTCATTCTCTAAAATCAGAGATCCATAAACTGCTAGGAAAAGGTTTTAGGGGGTTCTTCAATTAGCAATTGGTTTAGCATTGTTGTTTTTTAATTAAGTAACAAAAATATCTTCAGCATTTCAAAACTCAACAAAAAAAGGAAAAGTTTCCCTCACAGAGCAAGCTCCAAAAGCAGAAATAAAAGGAAATAATTTGAGTTAAATTTTTAAAAAGATTAACCTTAAATCCTAAGGCCAACAGTTTTGCAGAATCACAGAAGTTCAGGAAATATTAGTAATCCAACAAGATGTGTTATGTCCAGTCAGGCAATATAATAAGAACAATGGCTTAGGATTGGAACTTTTTTTTTTTTTCCTAAACGCTTATGGAAGGAAATTAAACCTCCCAGAAGTGTTTATTTAAATTGAAAGAATTGGTGGCATTTTTAGCCTGCTTACAAATATGAGCAGAGGGAAAACAAATGAAAGACATTCAAATGGCCTGTAGCAGGAAATCCACAGCATATAAAACTGTAGGTCAAAAGACCTAACCTTACAACGTGATTTTGGGTAAACCCGGCAGGAAACCAGTCTAAACCTCCACTTACAATACTTTTTACCTAAGTGGTTTTGCAATGCTTTACCTTGTACCTGTAAAAGCACTTTCTACAATATTTGTATCTGAGGGAGTTTCTTTTTCTGTACCTCAGAAACTGTCTTTGGAGCTCCTTTCAGGACTATTATAAGTAAAGTTCAAGTAACATCTAGGCTAGCAGCTTCCTTGGTAATGGTGGAAAGAAAACCTGTTTACTTCTCCTGCCTCCTAAAGATGTTGTGAGATTTAAATGAGGTAAGGCATATTCAGTTATCAGCAAGTTCCTGTCATGGACCAGCAGTCAACAAATGGCTCTTTCATGGTAGCTTGTAAAATTACCTCATACTGAGTATAGGGAACATGGCTGCCAAGGGTTTTATTATCTCCACATGTAGAAAGGTGGGGAGGGAGGGCCTCTGGAGCTTTTCTTGTTCTCTTTCTGACATAAAGAGGATGCAACAAAGTTCAGGGAAGACAATGGTCTCTATAGCAGAAGAACAAGCTAGGACATTCCAATGATAAAATGGAGAATGGTAAGAAAACTCTCCCTAGGGCCAGACACAGGCAGACTAAGGGCCTCTAGACGCTAGCAATTAGAATGCAAAGTTAAACAAGGGAGACGTACGTATTCATTAGAGGAAAATATAACTGTAACTCCAGTCTCATTTTCTCTAAGAAGAGGATCCTGAATTACAGTATTTGTATGAAACTGTTTATGTTTAGAGGTTTTTAAAAAGGAGTGTGTTTTGTTTGTTTTGTTCACTTTCTTTAAGCCTGGATATTTCAAACCAAACTTCTACCTCCACTGATGACAGTCTAAGACAAGTTTAGAGAGGGTATCTAAAAGGTAAAATGTCCCTAGAGTACTACAAAAGCCAAGGAAAATTTATTGTGTGT